TTGTGGGTGATTGAATGCCACTTTTATTCCTGCACTGTGTGGTTATAACTGATATGATTATGAACCACAATACATTGTGTTCGAAACGTTGTCATCCACTGCATAATAATAATAATACTGTTTCACTGTTTGATATATCTAATAAACAAATTGATAGGAAATTAATGTCTACTCTTTTGCCCAAGTTTTACACATATATTTAAGATGTGATATGTTTCAAATTACTAATCATAATGAATCAAATTGGACTGAATAGCCAGTGATTTTGTTTTCAAATAAAATGACAGCGAAAAAATTGTTATGTTATCAACTGAAATTTTGTCTTGAAATGCGCGCCAAAAATTGTATTTGTCAATATTCGACCTCTACTTTAATAAAACAATATATCAATATATATATCGAAAATTTTGATAAACAAAATTTTTTTTAAAATCAGTATATTGTTAATCTTAATTTATAATTAAATCCAAGTAAACATTAGAAATTGTTTTGAAAATCGGTGTGAATATAACTGTGATAATATAATGACTGAATATTGTACATTGAATGTTGTTGACTGTTGAACAGTAGTTTAGACCATGCCTTCGCATTGAATATTTTTAATCAATCTTGATAAGATCATAATAAAAAATTGAACTCTATGTGTGTATGTATAAACATAAACGTAAACAAATGTTTAACCCTTTAGTTATTTACCTACATGTTTATTGAGTGTTATTCAATAAGAGAAAAAACATTAATTAAAATTAACTTCCATTGTCAATTAGATCATAAAACAGTATGAATGTTTATAATATAAATTTAGAATATTCTTAAAATTAAATAACAGTAATAACAGTTATGGCATAGATGATATCTGTTTACTAGTGGATATATAGCGACGGGGTTTGGGGACACCTACGTTTCGTCCCATTTTGGGATTCCTCATCTGAGTATATACGGCAGCAGTTTGCCTAGTATAGTGTGTGTAACTACAGTCTAGCTCGATAGTATATAAACTAAGATTCATATTGTATCTGTTAGTCAGATTAATAACCAATCATGCTTGATGGACTGCCCCTACTAGGGGGGTCCTTATGGTAAACGATTCGTTTCCGTGGTACTGTTCGAATTATTCATCTCATGGAATCAGCATAAACCTAATTCACATATATTAATTAGGTGGTTGGAGGCAATCGGTAGGAATCCCTACGTGATCTAAGTTTCGTGCTATTCGGCACTCACCAGTCAGTCGGCAAGGCTTATCTGAAACCTTGAAGGAACTCACTAACATCCCTTCTGAGATTCGAACCCGCGTCATCCAGTGAGTGCTGGAGTCAGAGACGTTGCCAGTGAGGAAGAGCTATTCGGCCTGGTGACTGACCTCCTGTAGGACTTTATTGGATACCTTGGTTGGACGCTGGTTAGTAACTGGCATCCAATCAAAAGTAATTTATATACTGGTGACCTTTCGATCAAGAAATGGAATGGGATTTAAAAGACACATTTTGTCCCATGTAAACCAAATATATCGGCTAAAGTGCTGTCCGGAGCAGTTCGCTTCGTCCTCTTTCATGGCCGCTGTGCTTGGCCATTCGAATTGGAAACCAGGTAAGGCTATCTTTCTATGGTTACAAGTGTCTACGTTCCATCTCCAGTATTAGCTAGTATAATAGGATGGGTAGTACTGAAGTTAGGCGTACAGTATTAGATAAGGGAAGGAGGTAAAAATTGACACTGTTGTGAAGTTATATTGACTGAGATACCTAGGACATGCGTTAGACATACCTAGGCATTGCCTTTCTCGGCAGACAATGTTAGCTGACATAGGATGGATCAGGTTGGAAAAGAGACAGCTAGTGGTGGTCAAACCAGAACCTGTCATCATTCAATGAAGTCTTTGATATTCAGTTTGAACCCTATAAGGAGGTGTAGACTGGCTTCCTAGTTGGTATCCTTGGGATTCTTATAACCACTGACTGGGAGACAATTGTTAATATGGCTCTAAACCGCTTTCACTGGTGTAGATGCATTCACTCTTTGTGCACTGTTACTTCCAATAAAACTCCATTCTTCTTCCGTATTACTATTTCCCACCCACCCCCTCCACTCACACTTCTGTTAATCATCGTTCTTCCAAACTTCCTTCTATTTTTCCTCTTTTGTTTACCTTTGTGTACTCCATCGAGTCTGGCAACTTGAAGTGCTGGTACACTTCCACGAAAAGTTCCAATTTAAAATTTAGATAGTAGTGAAAAAAATGTATAATATTCTTCTCAACAGCTTCCTCTTCAGATTTGACTGTTATGTATGTCGATATTAGGGAAATAATAAGATTTGTGTATATAAGTTACATTGATTCAGAGAATCAGAGGGTCACAGAAAGCATTTCCAATAGCTAGACGCAAACTTACACCAACAGCTGTCCCTCTTCGCTCGATACAAAAGACTAGATGTTATAATATTATTCCCTTGGGCTCCGAGCGGAACATAGAGCTGACTTCAACAACACATCTTCACTTCCTTCTATTCTCTGCTGTTCTCTTCGTCTGGTTAGCTTCACGATTCCTCATGATCTCTCATCTCCTCCTCCAATTCGCACGATCTCCTTCATGTCACCCTCGCACCAACGACACACTTGTCGCATGCCATTCGGATTCTACCCAAGCAATGGCGTGAATTGAGCGCGATTTCACGCGAAAGCCCCTTCAACGTATGCCTGATCAATTCATCTCCATTTTCTCCTACATATTTGTCGAGCAATAGTCTTTTTGCTTGTTGGTTTTTTCCCAGCCAGCCAGAGTCTCTTGTTGGTAATTATTCCTGGTTGGCCCGCTGGCTTACCATTTGATCTTCAGTATGGAACTAGCTAGGGTATCTGCTGATAGAAGCGTGTACCTTGTTGGAAATCCTCATGACACGCTCTCCAAGCTTCTGACCTGTATATAAGAACTAACTGACTGACTTCACATTTCTGTTGCGAATCCGAATCTTGTTGTTGTTTATGCTGGCTGACTGAGTTAGTGCAGAAGATTTCCAAACTGGTTTCACGTTGGTTGATGAAGGCGTATCTTGCCTTTCCGACTTTGGCTGGCTGGCTAGCTGGTTTTGATATCTTCATCCGTTTTGCTGACCTGTGGTTGAAATCGTGCCTCCTAGCCGGAAAAGTGAAGTAGGAACCTCTGTCAAATCTCTCCCACTGATGCTGATTCGTTCTTATTGCTGTTGTTGGTTGGTTGAATTTTGCAAAGATTTCATTGAATTGTCAGTTAGAAAGTCACTAAAAACCACCACAGAGTACTGCAGAGATGTTCTATCCTAGGAAGAATTAATGATCCACCGATGGGACGAAAACACTAGTGACATTGGAATGAGAAGTTTCTCCAGAAAGGCGAATTTGGATCCATAACCGATCAATTTAACTCTAATGTTTACCAAACCTAACACTCATCTAACTGTAGATTAATTTTAAACCCAGTCATTCTATAAACAATATTAATCTAATCTAAGCCTTAAAGTAACCAAATATTATCCTTAATTACTAGTGTCATATACGTCAACAAAGATCGAGCTTCCCAGCTCAGTATAATCAGCTGATGAGTAGTTCAGAATAAGAATTGTTCCCCGTAAAAATTGATACTCATTGCATTAGAAATGACTTTCTTGGTCTGTCTTAGTTCATTTGAGAATGATTTTCATTGGTTGGTTTGTAAGGATTAGATTCGTTTTGATTAATTGATCACAGACTGTCATCAGTCTGAGAACCACTGAAAACAAGCAGGGAGTACTGCCTGACAGCTGTTTCGTCAGTCTAGTTTGGAAATCAATGGCAGCATGCACCCACCATCACCAGAGTTCAAATCCAGGACCTACCGGTTACAAGGCGAGCTAGCTCGCATACCATTCAGCCACTGGGACCTGATTCAACGGCCCATGAATTCTAACTTCTGAGGGTGGATGTCCCGCCGATGATATTTGTTAGTGGTCGCGCTAAATGCATCACGAATCGGTAGAAGTTAGAATTCATGGGCTGACTGGCCATTGAATTGGGTCCCAGAGAGTGGCTGAATGGTATACGAGCTAGCTTACCTTGTAACCAGAAGATCCTGGGTTCGAAGTCTGGTGATGGTGGGTGCGTACCGACGATGATTCCCAGACTAGACTGACGAAACAGCTGTCAGGCAGTACTCCCTGCTTGTTCTCAGTGGTTCTGTAACTGATAACAGTTTGTGATCAACTCGTGAGAACGATTTGGTGTTTTTGAAAATGAATGCTGATGAATTATAGTCTCAGTGAGAACAAAATCATTCACTGAAAATGCAGGTGTAACGCGAGAAGACAAGATACTTCACTTAGGAATGTTTGAAATATAATTCGATATACACATATATATACAAGAAAATTATATATACCGCATATATATTGAAATCGTCATTTGCACAAATCTTCCGTATTGTTATACTACTTCTACCCTCCCTTCTTATTGTGTTTCTTTGCCCTCTTCTTCTTCTAGTGTCTCCCATGTTTCACCACATTCCACTGGTTGTTCACTTACTCTCTTTGACGTCGAATCTATCCCTCCACTGTCTGACATTTTTGTGTACCAATCGATAAACGTATCTGTCCACATACTACTGATAAATCTTTTCAGTAGCACATTCCACACAGGTATATTTGGCTCACAAGTGGAAAACAACACGAGTCACTGGTTTTCACTGCCAGGCACCATCACAACCTATCACTTACCTTCCTGTAGTATTGATTGGTTACTGGTAAGTGCTCTGAGATGGGACAGCAAGAGAGATTGACTACTTATAGGCTGATGAGTCCCTAAAAAAGACAGGACGAAACCAGGTGTCTGAATTTTACTGCTAACCAATACTAAATAAATGACTATCTTAATTTTTGTTTACTTTTATTTTAATTCTTGCTTTTATCTGTGTTTTCATTATTGATTGATTAATTGATTTGTAAAATTTTCCTTTATTTTTATTTTTAATTTTTTGTTTCTCTCCTTCAAGGTATTTCAATGTAATCGTGTTGGTAATCGGATACAAAAGCCAATATGTGCAGAAATTATTTGTCATATTGATGAGCTGCTGAAACATCGTCCAGTTGTCCTCAAAGTGACTGGATGGTTATGGGCAAGAACATTATTTGCTAAGCATATTTCAGATGTTGATGTAAGTGAAATTTATTATTATTATTATTATATTAGATATTATTACTATTCCCATTGGGTTCAGAGTGGAACATAGAGCTCCCTTCAACAGCACGTCTCCACTTTGTTCTATTCTCTGCTATCCGCTTCAGCTGGCTAACCAAACGATTCCCCATAATCTCTCATCTCCTGCAACTCGCGACACGATCTCCTCCATTTCACCTTCGGACCCCAGCCCTCTTCTATTGATGGCCCGCATTGGCGCAATGTCACTCGATGGTCCATCCAACGTGTGTCCAATCCATCTCCATTTTCTCCTACATATGCCTTTGTTAAGCAATCGGCTCTAGCCTGTTGTTTTGTCGCCAGCCAGCCAGAGTTTCTTGTTGCTAATTCCTTCTCGCCGCCTGACCATCTGAACTTCAATATGGAGCCAGTGAAGGCCTCTGTTGATAAAAGTCTGAAGTAGGACCTGTTGGAAATGCTTTTCATGGCGCGCACGTCAAGTTTCAGACCCATATGGAAGAAATGACTGACTGACTTCACGTTGGTGTTGAACATCTGAATCTTGTTCTTCATAGTGACTTGGAAGAGAAGATTTCCAAACTAGTTTCAGTGTGATGAATTTTTGCTTTGCCTTTCCAAACCTGGTTAGTCTTGATACCTTCATCCACGCCATCCTCCTATAGTTGGAACGATGCCGCCAAGATAACTGAAGGTAGAAACCTCTGTCAATTCTTTCCCATTGGTGGTGATTGGTGCTGGTTGTTGTTACTGTCGCCGTTGGTTAGTTGGTTGGTTAGTTATCTCCATCACTTTCATCATATCTGTGTTCACTCGGATTCCTGTCTACGCTGACGGTCTTTTCTGTTAGTTTTTGGTTTTCATCTGTAAGTAACATTAAACATAAATCATCTACACGCGAAATCCAGATCTTCTAGAGTCTTCTCATAGGTCCATTGTTTCCCCATTTCTCGCTCCCCAGTTAGTGGTCAGGCAGTCATGTCTTACTCCTGTAACCCCTTCGAAGGCTTCTCTGAGTTTTCCGTTGCCATTATTACACAGCAGTTGAAGGAGATTGATAAAAATTTGGGGTACTGTACTCCATAGTGCTGAAGTAGTTTCTAAATTAATTCACAGTCAGTGCTGTCTGTTGAAGGCCTTCCTGTCGATTCCCTTCAACCATCTTATATCATCTCGAAACACAAGAGAATAAAAACAAACAAAGCCACTTTTAAAGAGTCGATCTGTAAGGATTAGATTGGTTGTTTACGATTTTGACCATGGACTGATATCAGTTATAGAACCATTGGAAACAAGCAGGGAGTACTACTAGACAGCTGTTTCGTCAGTCTAGTTTAGGAATCATCGTCGGTACGCACCCACCACCACCAGGGTTCGAACCCAGGACCTCCCGGTTACAAGGCAAGCTTGCTCGTATATCATTCAGCCACTGGGACTCGATTTAATGACCATCCCATGAATTCTAACTTCTACCAGTTCGTGATGCATTTAGCGCGACCACCAACCAATGTCATCGGTGGGACATCCATCCTCACACTTGGCTGGACGGATCTCACTGGTCATGAATTCTCACTAGAACCCAAGGAACATCTGTCCAGTACCCTCTGGTTTTCAATGTTTCTCTAACTGATACCAATCTGTGGTCAAACTCGTAATAAAAATCTAATCCTTACAAACCGACTATTAAAAATTAATCTGATGATTGCCAGTGACTTGCTAAAGCATAGAGTTGCTTGGAGCTATTTCTAATGAGAAGTCGTGACCAGTGAGGTCCATTCAGTCGGGAGTGAAGATGGATGTCCCACCGATGACATTGGTTCGTGGTCGCGCTAAATGCATCACGAATTGGTAGAAATTAGAATTCATGGGCTGACTGGCCATTGAATCGGGTCCCAGAGAGTGGCTGAATGGTATACGAGCTAGCTTTCCTTGTAACTGGAAGGTCCTGAGTTCGAATCCTGGTGATGGTGGGTGCGTACCGACGATGATTCCTAAACTAGACTGACGAAACAGCTGTCAGGCAGTGCTCCCTGCTTGTTTCCAATGGTTCTCTAACTGATATCAATACGTGATCAAAATTGTAAACAACAAAGCCACATTTATCATAATTATTATTTTGTATTATTCTGATGTTTTAATAAATGAAATCGAACAAACAAGCGAACAATCATTCGAAAGTTTATTCACATCATGTGTGTAAATAAACAAATTTGTTTACAAGTTGTGTGCATGTGTGCATAGTTGTCAATTTCTGACAAGTGGCATAACATTATTGTGTAAATAACAGTTGAGGGTAATGCATAAATTAGACGCCAGTTCACCTTGTTTCACGGTAAATAGATCACTGCATAAACAGATATGTTAATCAATTGTTTCGCCTTCAACCATCACCCCCTTTCCACAACCACACCCAAGTACACTCCTCATTGATTTGTAAATTAAAACAGTTCATTATGTTTATTTATTCCAAGAGGATGAAAGAATATGTGGTCTAGTGAATAACATTATGGCATTTAAAATGAGTCTTAATGCAAGAAGACAATCACTTACTGTCTAAGGATTACAGGTACATCCATCACCTGATGAGTCTCAAATAGGACGAAATGTACATCGCGGAATACCTCTGCTTGTCCCTATCCATCAGACTAAAGAATATGTTCAGATGGACTGAAAATTTCTACATGTAATTAGATATCATTCGGTAGCTAAACTGAAGCGAATCTTCAGCGTAGAAGTTTGCGCAAAAGTGTACCACTTCAAGATGCCATTATTCATGAAATTCGTGAAAAATCTCCATTCGAACATTAATAAAGAGAAAATCAGTAGTTCAGCGAAGAGTTTCTTTTCGGCGGCGAATTCATTTTCAAAGCTTTACAATCGCAAGTATGACAAAGTTAAACTTTAAGCACCACTAAGTACTAATCAGCGAATGACCTCGAACACACCAATCACGTGAAGGAGGCATTTTTGTGTACGAAATATATATATGTGTATATATGAAAAAATTGCATAAAAACTGTAGAAACGTTTTACAGAGGATACTTTCCTCTCGCATGTGATAAAAACAGCTCTCAGTTTTAGGTTTGAGTATCAACAGAATGTAATTCCATTGTGGGTAATATTTGCTTTGATAAAGCCTCAGAGTGTTATACAGTAATATTCACTAAGCAAAAGATTTTGCCCGAGACGTCACCAGTAAATATTATTGTATAAAACACTGAAGCTTTACCAAAATAAATGTAACCCATAATGGAATCATACCCTACCACAGTGCACAAGCTCTATTCTTATATCAACATGCATGTAATTATTTAGGTCTTCTAATCCTAACAATAACCCTAATCTTTCCTGAACCTAACCCTAACGTGAAAATATCGCCAAACTAATTGTAATCTAACTCGAACCAATCCTACTGTAGCCTTTTTTAGGTTAACCTAACCCTAAATTGTCCTTGGCTTAAAGAGTAACTTAATCTTTCGCAAACCTAAGCTGAAACTTCCCAGATATCCCATTTAATAGCATAACACTTCGATGAGCATATATTTTATTGATAATGACAACATTATTTGCCAGATTTCACTAACTTGCTCAGTTTTTGGTGGAGTTACGTAATACAAAAAAGCGTTCAGAGGAGTTGGATGTTGATATATAAGAGGGTAGTAACAAAAGTGATGAGTCATCACAAATGACTGTTAAAGAAGAGTTGCGTAATAACATGAATAGTTTGATGAAAAAGTTGTGCTCAGCGTGCACATGGAGATAAAATAGAACACGGAATTTCATAAGAGTTTTAAAGGAATACAAGAGTTTTGAGTAGTTAGAAAAAACAATCAAACAACCAAAAATTAAGTCAAATCAACTCAGTTGTCGCCATGATAGTAGAATTGGTTGAGTAATTTCCTGACGTATGCATAGTTCTAGTTCTTCTAGCTTGAATGGCTAGGGCTTCTGCAGTACAAAGAAGAGGGGAACTTATTGTCTTTGGCAGGTTGTTCTTCCTCCATTTGTAGATTCCTTTGAAGGAGGTGTTTATTGAGATGGAATGACCAGTGGTGACGAGATGTTCGATTATTGCACTCCTTATACAACCACTACTTCGTTTCTGCAGTCATGCTGGATAGTGTTCTTTGCCTCTCTTTAACAGGATACTCGTTGAACGACCGGTGTATCTGTACAAAAAGAAATATAATGAACTATAACGAGTGAGAATGTATGAGAGGAAGAGTAAATATATTCAGAATAGTGAGGATTTAACAGACTGAGAACAATTTCGAGACGTTTCATCAAGAGCCCTGAAGTCTTTGGGACTTCATGGGCATATAGTTTACCCTCCCTCCCCACCTAACCCAAAGTAACAGTCAAAGTCTTCATAGATTGATGCTATGTTTCGGTCTCACTACAGCTAACCCTTTTCCAACATAATCCTATGCCGATATTAGATAGTTGGAGGCAATCGGCCACAGGAAGCCTTGGTTGCACCCAAGGTTTCGTGCTAGTTGGCACTCACCTGTCAGCAAGGGGTAGCTGCAACCTTGAACGAACCCATGTCCCTTCTGAGATTCGAACCGGCATCACTCAGTGAGTTCTGCAGTCAGAGACGTTACCATTGAGGAGATATTCGGGCTCGCAACTGACCTTCTGTAGGACTGTAGTGGGTATTTTGATTGGACACTAGCAACTAGTGTGACGTGTCTAGTCTAGTCTAGTTCGAATCTCAGAAGGGGTATGAGTTCCTTCGAGGTTGCAGATATGCTTTGCTGACTGGTGAGTGCCAACTAGCACGAAACCTAGGTGCAGCCAAGGCTTCCTGTGGCTGATTGCCTCCAACTATCTAATATCATCAAATCAATGTGTGCCATGATGGCGAGCTACCTAGAATGGTGGTCACATTGCAAACTTGGCTGACTGATGGAATTCAGTCTGCACAAAATAACAAGGACTAGACACATCACACTAGTTACTAGTGTCCAATTAAATTAATCTTATGGCAGTTGATAT